AGAGAGAGAGAGAGAAATATTCAAGCACAAGTAAAATACATATATTTTTCACACACTATATACACATAGTGGCAGTTGACCTCAATATGCTTAATTTTTTCATGAAATACTAGATTTGAGGCAATATAATTTTTTTTGAGAATCGGTTAACTTTATAAATGAAGAAGAATTACATACTATTCAAGAAAGGGAAGGCAGCCCACAAACTGGGTGCTCAGTGTACATAGCGAGAGGGGGTGAGGAGAGAACAAAGAAAACAGAAAGAAGAAAGCAATAAACCAAAGCAAAGCAAGAAGAAAAAGAAAGAGAAAGTAAACTTAGAACTAGAAAACCTAGATAAGGGTATGAAGAGACACTGTAATTGTTTATCGAAGTTGGCAAGGCAAGAATGATTGCAATGCAAAACAGCAGTAGCTTGTAGCAGGGGCAGACTCAGAGCGGTGGCAGCAGCATCTAAAGAGGTAAACACTTGACACCAGCATACTAAAGGCCTGGTAAAACCTCTTCACTCTTGTACCACCCTATGATAGAACACTAAGCGAGGTGATGCATTGAGAGCGAGGGGGAAGCAATAGACATTTTAGACCCTCTCCAAGCTTCTTCCTTCCTAAGGTAGATCACAAGGCGAGCTGTTGTAGGGAAGTAAGGAGGAGAAGGCATTGAGAAAGAGGGGAGAGGTGTAGGTGATAAGAGGAGGGATACTTAAGAAAAGAGTAAGGTGGAGAGAAGAGATCAGGGTTGAAAAGTGGGAAAGCAACAACTGGGGATGAGAGAGCCAACAGAGAATTCCAATTATTTAAAAAGCAGTTGCTGGGGAAGTTAGCAAGAACATGGATAGTCTTAGCCCAATAGGAGATGAGGGAAGATAGAGGCGTCCGACCTACCCCTAAAGGTCCTGAAGTTCCTTTCCAACCAGGTGACCCAGAGAAGTGTAACCGCAGAAATTTGCCAGAGCTTCTTGCCAAGTTAGGGAAAAGGCGGGGTCAGAAGGGTGGATAAGAGGCTATGGTCGAAGGGTGGGGTTAGCCATTGAATACCAAAGAGGTTCAATAGTGAGGACTATATTGTTGAGCTATAGGATAGCATAAAAAAAGGTAGGGGATTGGGTTCCTCCTCCTAGAGACACATTATACATCTATTTGGTAAAGGTAAGTCATACCTCTGAAGTTGGTCAGGAGTAAGAGTTTTGTACTTTGTGAGGCACAGGCAAGGACCAACATTTATTCAAAATAGGGGAGGGGTTGAGATTTGGTGGCAAGGCCAGAAAGAAAGATGAGACCGAGAAAATGTCAGAGGGGTTTGGAGACCACAACAGGGAATCTTGATTCTGAAAAGTGCATAAAAAAGAAGAAAGAGACAAAAGGAGAGAGTTAAGAGGTAAAATTTCAGAATCAGAGAGGTTTCTCCTAACGATGGGTGTCCACTCAAGGCCAGAGTTGCCAAATTCACAATAATCCTTAATTAAGGCTTCCTTGTCAGGAGCTATATTGAAGAGGGAGGGGGAAACCTGATTGAGAGGAGCTTCACCAAGCCAGATATCAAGCCAAAACCTAATACGAAGTCCATTTCCCAACCTAAATCTAATATATCTGAGAATGTTAACTTTACTAGATGCAATGCATTTCCATGCACCAGAAGATCTGTGGGCAGGGACAATATAAATTGCTGCTTGATTATCACAATGTAGAGGAAAAGGAGTTGATACATTAACGCCCATCTCTTGAAGAAGAGAGCGGAGCCAATTATTTCACACGTAGCACTTGCCGTTGCTTGATACACGATTTATGCTGAAGATCGAGCTCCAACACTGTGCTTCTTACTCTTCCAAGTGACTAAATTACCACCCACTGTTATAAAGTAGCCATTGGTAGATCGTCTATCAAGACAACAACCAGCCCAATTTGTATCGCAAAAACCTTGTACATCAAGATGACCTAACTGGTATAAAGTAGCTCTCTCCCTAGAGAGGAATTTAAATATCGTAAAATGAGATAAACAACCTCCAAGTGCTCAGAGCATGCTGTGCTTACAGCATATGCAATGTTTGGCCGTTTGACAGTCAAATAAATAAGTCTACCCTCACTAATCTCTGATATACACCAAGGTTACTCAGAGGCTCTAAAAGTTGATCATACAGTTTGTGATTAACCTCTATAGGAGATTCTGCTCGTTTGGCTTTCAGCATTCCTGTGTCATTGAGGAGATCAAGAGTATACTTCCTTTGGGACAAAAAAAAATCTTTATTTAAACTTATCCACCTCTATTCTAAGAAAGTATTTCAATGGACTAAAGATCCTTGATGTCTAAAACACCGCCCAAGAATTCTTTCACTTTTTGAATTTTGTGATTACTATTTACTGTGAGCATAATATTATCCACATACACTATCAGTATTGTGGTAGAACAAGATTCTCTTTTAACAAATACAGAATGATCAAAATCACTCCTTTGAAATTTGAATTGACATATTGCCATGTTGAATTTTTTGAACCAAGCCCCTGAGGTGACTGTTTCAATCCATATATAGCTTTCCTTAATTTGCAGACCTTCCCTTTCTCTCCTTGAGGATAAAACCCAGGTGGTAATTCCATATACACTTCCTCTTGCAGATCTTCATGGAGGAAAGCATTCTTCATGTGTAGTTGGTGGATTTGCCATTTCCTATTTGCTGCAATGGATAAAAGTACTTGTATTGATTTCAACTTTGTCACAAGAGAAAAAGTCTCCTTATAATGGACCCCATATAACTGTGTAAAACTCTTAGACACCAAATGAGCTTTGTATCTCTAAATCGAACCATCTAGTTTGTGCTTCAAGCAATGTTTAAAAAAACGGACCGCCCGGCTCCCGAAAAGAATTTTTCGCACGTCTAGACCTGGGCGCCCCAACACGAGCGGCTGTACCTGGGCGGGCGCCTAGGCGGGCTAGGCGGGCGCCCAGGCGGGTGCCTAGCGCCCAGTTCTGGGCTGGCGCCCAACACAGTTTATGAATTTTTTTCTTTGAACTTCGCCCAAAAGGGCAAAGGGAGTCATTTTAACCCCCAAGTTTGTATAAAATAAGTTTAGGGGTTATTTTTCAACCCCAAACTGAAAAAAGAACAAGAAACCCTCAATCTTAAACTTATTTATGAGAATCTAAAGCAATTGCTGAGAATTGAAAGTACTTCTTGTGGATTGAAAAAGTTTGTTTTCTGATTGAAATTATTTTTGGGGTGCTATTGGTGGTATTAGAAGACTTTTAAATTGATTCGTAGCTCGACTGAGATAGCCAACTTTGAAGATCAGAGATTGGGTAGAAAAAGTCAGTCTGTAATCTTTATTTGAGATTTATTTTTCAATTTGAGATGTCTTTTGTGGGCTCTACTAGGGGTGGAGATCCTGGATGGAAATATTGTGTTAACCCAGATAAGAATGACAAAAATAAAATTATGTGCAATTTCTGTGGACATGTTTCTAATGTCGGCATAAATAGATTTAAGAAACATCTTGCCGGTATTAGAGTTGATGTCACCCCATGTAAGAAACTGAAGAAGAGGATGATGAAGAGGGGTAAGAAGAGATAGCTATGGTTGGTACTCAGAGCTCTAAGACCAAGGGGGCTTTTGAGTCTAAGAAGGCTCGTACGAGAGGGCTTATAGATAGTTTCTTTACATCTAGCCCTGAGACAGTAATTGAGAAAGGCAAGGGAAAGGGGAAAAAACAGGTGACAATTGACAATAGGTTTAAAAAGGAAGATAGAGCCAGGGTGATTCAGTATATTGCTCGGTGGTTTACCATGCGGGCATTTCTTTTAACACTGCTAGTTTGAATATCTTCCATACAATGTTGGAAGCAATTGGGCAATTTGGGCCAGGTTTGAAAGCTCCAACTCCTTATGAGATTGGAGATCCACTACTGAAGAAAGAAGTCGAGTACACTAATGAATATCTCAAGACTCGTAAGGAGGGATGGGCTAAATTTGGGGTTTCTTATGACAGATATGTGGAGTGATAAGAGGAGTAACATGAATTTATTAGTAAATTGTCCTGTGGGTACAGTTTTTTTACGCTTAATCGATGCTTCCAATGATGTTCATGATGCACATTATATATTTTCTTTCATTGATAAGGGTATTGAGGAGGTTGGGGAGGAACATGTAATTCAAGTGGTCACAGATAATGCTGCTCCCAATCTAGCTGCAGGACAAAAGAGGCCTCGCATATTTTGGTTTCCTTGTGCTGCACATTGCGTAGATCTTATGCTTCAGGCAATTGGTGAATTGCCTCCTATTAAAGGAATTATTTTTAAGGTTAAGGAGGTTACAATTTTCATATACAGTCCCATATTTACCTTTAGCGTGATGCTCAAGTTTACAAAAAAGAGAGAGCTAGTGAGGCCTAGGGTCACTGGATTTTCCACTGCCTACTTTAGTTTACAAAGCATGTATAAGAGGAGGATCGCTTTAAGGTTTATGTTTGCTTCAGAGGAGTGGAGTAGGTGTAAGTGGTCTAGAGATGCCAAGGGAAAGAAGACACGAGATATTATTCTTTCGAAATATTTTTGGCGTGGGGTGAAGCATGCAATATTAGTATTTCTTCCCTTGGTGAAGGTCTGGCGCTTGGTTGATGCTGATAAGCCCTCCATGGGCTTTATATATGATGTAATGGAAAGGGCTAAGAATGAGATTGCAGAGAATTTGGGGGATGATGCAGCGAAGTATGCCCCAATTTGGGAGATTATAGATGATAAATGGAATAGGCAGCTCCATAGACCATTGCATGCAGCGGGTTACTACTTGAACCCCAAATTCTTTTATGCAGATGCAGATATTGAGTCAAAAGGGGTAATTATGGATGGTTTTAATGAGTGCCTTGAGAAATTAGTTCCTGATCCAAATGTCCAAGATAAGATATCAATTGAAGAGCTAATTTCTTACAAGTGTTCTTTGATGTCATTTGGGAAAGATATGGCATTAAGGCAGAGAAACAAAGACGAACCAGGTAATATTCTTTTGACTTATGTACTTTTGTTTTATAAAATATAATTTATAATTTTCTTTCTAGTTTTGATAATGTTAAATACCTAAATTAATTATAAAGGTTGCCCACATATTGCAGCCCAATGGTGGAGACAACATGGGAGTAGCGCTTCAAACCTCCAGAAGATGGCTATGCGGATCTTGAGTTTGACAACTACCTCTTCTGGTTGTGAGTGCAATTGGAGTTCGTTTAAGATGGTATTTTACTATTTTACTATTTTAAAGGAATAAAATTTTATATGCTTTTTTTGTTTATAAGTTCATATTCATTTTGTAATATAGATTCATAAAAGGTAAGAAGATCATAGACTTATAGTAGTTACTTATGCATTATTTTTCCTTATAGGTGCATACAAAGAGAAGAAATAGGCTTGAGCAAAGGAAGCTCAATGACTTGGTTTTTCTTTGAGAGAATCAAAGGCTCGAGGAGAAAAAAAACCAGCCAAAGAAGGACCCTATCTCTTCGAAAGACATGGAGAATGCTTCAGATTGACTAGTTAGTGACCCTGGTACTGAGGAGGTCTTCCCTGGAAGGGTTTGACATGGGAAATGGTCGAGGAGGCTTCAGGGCAAGCTTATGATCCTAGGAGGGCCACTCGAGCAACTTCTTCTGCTGCTACTTCACGGAGGGAGATAGAGGAAGAGGAGGCAGATTCAGAAGAATATCTGGAAGAAGAGGAATATGTTGAAGAGGGTGATGATTCTGATGATGGCCTCAATTCTGATGTAGATGAAAGCAATGAAGATGATGATTCTGATTCCTATTGATGTCTTAATTGTCTTCTCTCTTCTTTTGAAGTAACTTTAATACTTTATTGCAGCATCTTGGTTTGGGCTTTAGACATTTGGAGTCTGAACGATTTTTATTTAGTTATGTGGTTTGTAATTTTTTTGCCTTTTTGGAATATTTTGTTGTGTGGTTTACTGGTTTTTCTATAGTTTTGGAAGTCAGTTTGTTGATGACTTGGAGAGTTGGAGACTTGGAATCTTGGATGTTATTATGGTTTATTTTATGGATATCGAATATGCCAATATGGAGAATTTCTGAATTTGAGAGTTGGAGACCTTACAGTGGCCTATTAGACCTTTAAATGTTTTGTATGGTTCAAATTTTGGAATAATTACAAATTTTGACACAAATATATGCATATATGTGCATTTGGATAACAAATATATAAAAAAAAACTAAGAATTTGCACTGCAGGGCGCCCGAGGTTCTAGGCGCCCACCTAGGCGTTGGGCGCTGGGCGCCAGGCAGGCCGCCTAGGGGCCACCTAGCGTTTTTTGAAACCTTGGCTTCAAGGTATACACCCACATGCATCCTACTACATGTTGTCTTTTTGACAGATCAATTACATCCCAAGTTCGTTGCTTCTCTAAGGCAATCAGTTCCTTTCCACTGTTGTTGAGCCAATGCATCTGCAACTTTGGTGGGAATAGAAATACAGGAAGTAGAGCAAAGGTATGCACAAAAAGAAGGTGAAAGTGAAGCATAAGAAACAAATTTACTAATCATATGAGAAGTACAATTCTTTTTTTCTTTTCGTGTTACAATAGGTAAATTGGATTCAAAAGGTATAGAGGTATGAGGAGAAGAAGTGCCCAACGAGTCAACAAGTTGAGGTTGATGATTGATCATTTACATCAGACTTTCCCATGTTCTTTTTCCAGGTTTACACTTTCAATAGTTTCCCAGTAGATTCCACCTAATCCTTAGTTGGATTACTGAAACTATTTTTGATCGCTGGAAGAGGAATAGGATTTTCAGGTGGCATAATGGATATTGAACCTCTTTGGGAAGAAAAGTAGAGTATATTCTCAAAGAAGGTAACATCCTTTGAAAGTAACACTAGTATCGTTTATGAGATTTTGAGTATCCTAGGAACACGCATCTGGTAGATCGAGGTTCTAATTTATTCCTAGCTGGCCCTAGTGTATGCACAAAGCAGACAACCAATAATTTTTGGTGGAAGAGAGAACAAAGGAAGTGTATGGTGAAGTTTGAACAGGTGTAGCCATTCTATTGATCATATAGGTAGTAGTAAGAACTGCTTCATCCCAATATGTCTTAGGGATCTTCATTCCCGTTAAGATGCCTCTCACCACTTCTAACAAGTGTCTATTTTTCTGTTCTGCGACACAATTCTATTGTGGTATATAGGAACATGATGTTTGAGTTTCTATACTACGTTACCATGTTTCTGAAAATAATTCTTTATTCCATGGTTTAGATACTCTTGTGTATTATCAGAATGAAAAAGTTTTATTTGGGTCTTAAACTGGGTCTGAACTATTTTGTGAAATGTTTTTACTATTGAAGGTACTTCATCTCTACTTTACATAAGATATATCTAGGTATAACGAGAGTGTTCATCAATGAATGAGATAAAATACCGACATCCATAAATAGAAGTAACAGGAGCAGACCCCAAACATCAGAATAAACAAGATGGAAGGGCTTAGAACTTATATTTTCACTTGTAGAAAAAGAGGTCCCACAATGTTATATATCTAGGTATAACGAGAGTAGTCATCAATGAATGATATAAAATATCAATATCCAAAAATAGAAGTAACAGGAGTAGGCCCCCAAACATCAGAATAAGTAAGATGGAAGGGCTTAGAACTTATATTTTTACTTGTAGAAAAAGAGGTCCCACAATGTTTAGACAATTGACAAATCTCACATTGTAACTAAACATTCAAAGAAACAAACTTATTTGGAAACAACAACTTTAAGGATTTTACAGACATGCGGCCTAAAAGGTTGTGCCACAAGAGGACTTGCTCATGACCACGAGACTTAGTGGTAAGAGCAATAGTAATGCATCCCTTGTTGAACAGGTATAACCCATTGTCTTCACGACCACCACCAATTGTCTTCCTCATTTTCGGGTCCTAAAAAAGACAATGTGAGGGGTAAAATGTGGCATTGTAATCTAGTTGTTTTGTTAGGGTGCTAACAAAAAGAAGGTTGGAAGGAAAAGAAGGCACATGTATTATAGAGGGTAAGGAAAAGGATGATGAAAGTTTATATGTACCACTCCTAGAGGCACTAGTCATGGATCCATTAGCAAGTTTAACTTCACAAGAAGTAGAAAAAGACAATAAACTGACTTTCTTACCAGTCATATGGTCAGTAGCCCCTAAATCAGCTGGTGTTGTAAATCTTTGATGACCTGATCTCTTGGACTGGATAGATTGTGTTGGGTGGCTAAGGTTTCCTCCTGTCACTCGATACAATATGGACACTTGCGTTCCGTAGTTTCAGTCTCAAGTGTGGATGCAAGTCCCAACAATGCTCTCGGGTGTGTCTCCTCTTCCCATAATGGCAGCATTTGACTTTCTTCTCTTCGGCTGGAGATAGTGGAGCATGATTTGGTCTCATACCCACTTTTCCTTGCTTGAAGCTTGTTGCAAAGGCTGATCGTTCATGATGGATGCTTGAGTTTTGTCCTTCTGCAATAACTTTTCTATTGGCCTCCCCCATTACATAATTATAGATAGATTCAAGAGAGGGCAATTTGTCCTTTCCTAGAACCTATACTGCCTGTGTAGAACTCAACAATCCTTCTTTGCTCGGACTGTTTTTTAATGTCATATTGTCATCAACTGTGGGATTAATAGGCTAATAGTGGTCTAGTTCTTACCGCTTTTGCCTTAGTATCCCAAATTACTCTTCCACAGTCATTTCTCCTTGCTGCAAATTCGCCATTTCACGATGCAATTGGTAAATCCTGGCCTTATCATTTTGTTGTGAGTATGTCTTGGCTACCATCTCCCATATATCCCTTACAGTCTTAAGAAACAGCAGCCCCCTGCTGATACTTGATTGCTTTGGAATGAAAGAACCAGGCCATTATTGTCAAGTTCTCATTTTCCCATTCATCATGAGATAGATCATTTGTTGGAGACGCTCTCACTTTTCCTGTGATGTAACCCAATTTCCTCTGGCTTCCTATGAACATTTTGACAGATTGGGACTATTCTGAGTAGTTTGTCCCATCTAGCTTAACTGCAGTAATCATCAATCCTGGGTGGTTAGATTGACTACTTTCCATGGAAATATTATGCTTGATTTCTAACATTTTCCTTCTCTCTTGAACTAGGAACTGTAAGGCCCCCCCCCCCCCCCCCCTCCTCGGCCTGTTTAAAGGTACCAATTCCTTAGTTTCAAGTGTGAGGTTGCTGGAAATGTGGGATTGCTGGAAATATGAGGTTGTTGGAAATATGCGGTTGTTATTGGTAAAAGAAAGTGAGATGATCTTTCTGAATATACAAGGTTGCTAATACACCACATCTTAACGCCCAAGAAGGAAGAAAAATCATGATTCTAGGGTCACCGGAAGTACTAGATATCCTAGGGTTTCAAGCCCTGCTCTGATACCATGTTAAGATTTGGGAAGAAGAGAGAAATAGAGAGTAGGATTCAAGCACAGGTATATACATATATGTTTTTCACACTCTGGACATCGTAGGGAAATGTGCTTTATATATACAAATATTCCTATGGGGGTTACACTATGGGTAGGTTAGCATGCAAAAGAATTACAACCATTACAACAGGAGTTACAATCGCTGTTACAGCAGGTTCTAATGGGAACGAGGTCCATTATTTATACGAGTTGTGGGTTTTAATGGGCATGAACCTATAACACCATAACAACCATTTCATGAGGCCCATTATGTATAGGAGTTACAGCTGTTACATAGGTTTTAATAGGCATGAGCCCATACCAGTTGCTACAGTTCTCAATAAAAATTTTGAACTATATAAATGTTTTTGAATACTTGAGATTATTCCTTTAGGAAATAAATCCAAGTTTCTTTGCGAAAAATCATCCACAAAGATCACATAGTATATGATATGAAGAACATGCAATTGGTGCATGTTTCCATACATCAGAGTAGATTAATTCAAGAGGTGAGGAAGCTCTTTTATTAGAATTTGAAAAGGGAATTTGGAAATGTTAGCCCAACTGTCAAGCATGACGAAAAGAAAATTTTTGCCTCTTAGATAGTGATGGGATTGAACCTTACCTATGATCCATTTCCTCCAAGTAATTCCAAAATCCATAAGCCTCATTATTTCATACAAATATACCCAGGCAGCATGATCGTATGGCTAAAACAAAAATTGATTTAGAGCTCTTAAAGGCTTCGATCCCCTGTCCACCAAATGGATGGCCATCTTCACTGAAAATGCTGGACTCATTTTCTCCCTTTTTTGTGCACTTTTTTTCTGTTTTGGATCTTGATTGCCTAGAGGACATCTGCATGTGTAAACTTTGGAGCACAAGAAATTCTTCCAAGTCCAATGGGTTAGGATCCCCTAGCTATATAGTTTTGAGCTAGCTGACACTGTAGCGGTCTTTTTCAATGTGAATCAAATCTTTTCCTGATATCCTAATATATATATATATATATATATATATATATATATATATATATA